AGATTGGCATGTAGATGCCTTCAGTAGAGGAATCTTATCAACCATGTGAATTTTCAGGCAGATCGGACATTGTTTGGCTGAGTTATATGTAACTTCCTGTTGGCAGCAGGTGGCGCTATGACTGTGACTCGATATTGGGATGTAGATGTCTTCAGGAGAGGATTTTAATCAACCGTGTGAATTTTCAGGCAGGTGAGACATTGTGTGGCTGAGTTATAAGCCAAACTACCTTCTGCCAGCAGGTGGCGCTATGACTGACTCAATATTGTTATGTGGATGTGATACGATAAAGTTTGTGGGAGGAGTTTGTTACTCTGTAAATCATGTCATTTCCTGCGGCCAGCAGGTGGCGCTATAACTGTATCTGTATATTGGCATGTAAACGTGTTCAGGTCTGGACTCTTATCAAGCGTGTGAATTTTGAGGCAGATCGGATAATGCATGCCTGAGTTATAACGACTTCCTGCTTTGTGGCGAATCGTCAAAGTTTGCGAGGCCGCCACGGACACGCCCATCGACAAAAACTCTAAAGCTTCACAATTTAACATCGCCAAGGCCTTTAGATGACAAAACCCAATTTTGGTGTCGATCAGATAAAATCCCTAGGAGGAGTTCGTTAAAATACAACGCCTGGAAATGGCAAAAATGCCACTTTTTCGCCGCAGGAAGTTAAAAATATCCGACTTCCTGTTGGGTTTGAGATATGGCTCCAAGAGACTTTTTCGTATGTTTTGGCATGTTTGAGGTGTGTGCCAATTTTTGTGCATGTGCGTAATTCGTGGATCAGGGGCTCGTCCGTTTAATTTTTCTAGGTGGCGCTGTTGAGTCATTTTGCCACGCCCATTTCCGAAACCCATAACAAAAATAAAATTTTTGCCACTTCTGAGGCGTGTGCAAATGTTTTGTGAGTTTTCAGACATGTTTAGCCCCTCAAAACCACGATTCATTCCGCGGAAGAAGCATAATAATAATAATAATAATAATAATAAGAAACGGAGCAATTCTAATAGGGCCTTGCACCGTTTGGTGCTCGGTCCCTTATAACAGTAACTAACAGCTTGTAAGTTATCTATTAGCCATCTATAAGGCACAGTTATAAATAATTAACAAACTATTAACTTTTATTTAACAAGTCATTTATAACTTGTTAACTAACAGTTTATTAATGGTCTGTTAACTAGTTATAACGGATAGTTACTCTAAAGTGCTACCGAGTTTTTTTTACTTGTTGTTTGAATGATACCAGTGAATCTGCAGCTCAGCAGTGTGATGCTTTCATAACCAATGAAATGGAGTGAAAAAGCAATGTAATGTGAGGAGGGCTGGGTCAATAAATCAAGGATACTTTAATGCGCATTTTGTCAGTGAAGCTGGTTCTAGAACACCTCCTGTATGTGCGTTTGGATATCCTAATGTTGGCAGCTGAGCTGTATGAAAATATACTATTCAATAGAAAGCCAAAGGTAATGTTTACCAGCGGCGCCTGCAGCTGTACGGCTGTACGCACAGTGCGTACCTAGAGAGGGCTGGAATTAATGCCGCTTTTTATTTATTTATTTGTGACATAATTTATATTGATTATTTAACAGTATACACTACAGATGCCTGCTTTTCCTCTATCGTGCCAAATCGCTGCAGCGCTGCATTTGGTAGCACAAAAACTCGCTCTGAGCTGGGAGTGAACTTTACCAACAGCTACATGCGCTGCTGAAAGACTTTTTTTCTGCTGCGCATCGAATAAAGACACGCTTAACATCATCGATGTCCACAATACATCCTATATCCATAACACACGAACATGCTGACTCTTTGAACAACGAATAAATAGCGGCAAGCCAGACAACTTGTTTTGTAATTTAAGCCCTGAAGGACGGTTACGGCGTGTTGTGATGTTGTCCGTCACCGAAGAAAGTCAAATCTTTCTTTCCTTTTTTGACTTTTGTTTGAAAGCTTTAGTGGCACTGTAGCGAGCTAGCTGTAGTTTTTACTCAAAAATAAATAAATTAATAATAATAAAGTGTTTTATAAAACTAAAATGAGCAATTTTCCCAATTTTTTATGATTCATTATAAGTTGGACATTTATGGGGCATGTAACATGTTTCTGTCTTTTTTAAAATTTATTTATTTTTTTGTTCTCGGTGATCTTCAATACTGGGTAGCTACGCAAAATATTTTCTTAAATGTCAAGCAGGAATTTGACTATAGCTTTAATTATGAAGACAATAAATATTAAAAGTAACAAAAATAAAATGATAAAAATACAAATATATAAAAAGAGCAGAATTTTGTGAATGAATACTGAAATTACAGCCATCGGAAGGGGGCGGGGCGGTGCTGGATTTGTGCATACCTTGGAATAAAATCCTGATGTTTACGACACAGAAATGGCCAGTGAGAAAATGTCTGAGAAAGATTTTTTTTTTTTTGTGTCATTTACAACATGGTTAAATCTCGTCTTTCAAATCATATTTCACTAAAAATCAAAATAGCTACAAAAA